AAAATAAAATAAAATAAAAACTATATGTATATACTTCACTGAATACCAGACACGGTAATAACAAAATTAGTCAAAGCAAAATTAAAACGCTGTGCTCACTTGGTTTTACAGAAAACATTACATCACATTATCTTTTATTACTGTAGTGTATTTACAGTACATAAATAAATAATGTGTATTAACCTGTTCTTTTGCGTTCTCGTGTTAATGTACCTTTAAGAGACGATAAAACGTTGCCGTGGATGAGCAGCCACTGTTGTACTTGTTAGTTTTGTCCAGCAGGGGGTGCTGTTGTCATTGGGATAGTGTGTATTGTGGCTCTCTCTCCAGCGTCGCCTTATAGCTGTGAATTAATATGTGTCCGGACTGAGTCAGGAGACCAGGTGCATAAATCTGACTCGATCGTGGATCACTGTCATCAGATGAACCGGTCCGTCACGAAAACCGACAGCGCTGCGTGTAAGTGCGCCTTAAAAATGACGGCGACTTATTAAAACGTTCTTAAACGATGCTTTTTGGCTAGCAGCGTACTTTTCACAAGATTTGCTTCCTATTTTAGGAAATGTAGACAAATACAGATAGTAATAATCTCAACTTTGAATTACTGTTCATAAAAATACATCCAGTATATCATTAGAAGTGCTACAGGTATACGCGTGTGGCTAGAAAGTGGGACTATATTTTTTACATATTAGCTTAATTCGATTACAGCTTTAATTTGCTCACTGCGTCATAGCAAATGTAGCCTAAACGCAGGTAAACAGATTTCTACCGTAGTTTTTTGTTTTTTGGGGGGGTTTTTTTAAGAAAGAAAGAAAAAAAAAAAGTTGTATGTCAGCTTGCTGCCACACGGGCCTGTCAGGCCATTTGTCAGGAACTCAATAAATTTGTCAGTGGAGGAGGAAGAGAAAAAAAGCAGAATTCAATAAATCATAACATAAACAAATCTAGCCATGAGTTGACAGTGCTGTATTATACTTTGGCTTAATCCTCGGGGAGCTGGGATTATCCTGCACTGGGCTATCGTTTTTTGGGGGTGGTGGTGATGGCGGGGCTGCCTCAATAAAATAAGAAAGGCCGTGTGGTTCAATGTGGAGTAAAAAGCGGGAAAATGTGACAGAGTGGGTAGAAAGACAGTTCAAATGACTCCTTTGTTATCCTGCATGGTAACATTTATGTAACTACACCAACGATTTGAAGAATAGTATTTAAAATAATGGCATGTAAAATACAAATAAATAAATAAATAAATATTTAAAAGCGAGGTAAATTTAGTAGTCCTATATCCCGGCTCTCACAGGCCGATGGGGCCCTGGGCTGTCTCACTGTTTGTTGTTACAGTGGTTCACTGACTGTTCACTGTCTGAAATCACATTATAGCTGCATGAATTTTTTTAGCCCGTGAAACCAACGAAGAAGTGCAGAAAACATTCAGTATCCCAAATTAATTTACCGCTGATTGATCGGAAATTGACGCTCAAACCTTTATAATAATCCTCCCTGTTGATCCACGAGGCTCAGCCTGTCCGTTGACTTGATGGGGAGAAAAAACAACAATTTTTTAAGTGATCTCCCTCTGAAACTCTGTCACAGCCAAAAAGACAAAAGACAAAAGAAGAATATGACACATTTCTTCCCCCAGTTCGCTGAGTCTCCCTAGGCTCAGAAACTGCCCGCTGCTGCTCAATGTGAAGGTTTTGTAGGTGTTGAAGTGCAGATCGGCAGCAACAACAAAAAAAATAAAGGAAGTGTGTGTGAGAGATTTTTTTTTCATTCGAGTTTTAAAAAAGGGGGCATCGTGGAGAGCTTAGACTCATTAAAAGATCAAAGTGAGTTAACTATCAAAGTCTTCAAGCCCTGCAATTTAGGGAGCCATTATGGCTTTGGTTTGCTACCTCTGAGGATGTGAAATGCTCGTCCCAATTTCGCTGAGGTGTTTTATTTATTTTTCTAAAGAAAAAAAATTCTTATCGGCGAGCTTTGTTTTAGGAATAATTAATAATATGAGCGTTTTAGTATAAATGAGCCTATAATGGTAAAGAAAAGGGGGGATTAGATGAGGTGCAGCGCAGTATTACCGGCCCACACATGCGGGGTGATATGGATTATAGTTTTACGTTTTAAAGGTGAGACTTTGCGTCGCTGCATTGATTGTAGCCTCCGGGTTTAAGCAGAGCAGGCCGGGCACTGCTGGAGTTATCCTCTGAGCTGGAAACTGAATGAATTGTGAGTGCCTCCCAAAAACACACCGCAGTGTAAATGTAATTAAAGCAGAACGATTGTCCGTATTTTTTGTGCCCATATTTCAGTTTTATTAAATTTAAAACGGTGTTTTAATTTGATGAAATTATCGTAATTATTTCGTTCCCTTTCCTGCAGTAGGCTTTCTCTTCTCTTTTTTTTAATCGGCCTACACTGATTAATTATGATACATTAATTTTACTCCTGCGAGTGGGCTGTATTTATTTCCTTTCTTCCTTATGCACTTTCCTTATATATATTTTTTAAATTCTGCCTTAATGAAATTGAAAAGTTTGACTTTAAAGAAGGCAAAAGTTTGCGCAAAAACCGCAGTTTTATTTTGCTTCAAAGAAGAAAAAAAACTTTCCTTCCGCGATCATTCCAGTGTGGAATCACGTTTTTGCTACTTCCCCAATTGAAATGAAAATTATTATTAAAATTATTATTTATTTTTTTTAATGTTTTTACTTTCAGAATTATTAAGTGAAGCCTGAAACCAGAATTACAGCGAACTCCTGCAGGAACGTTAGCCTCTCTGAGGGCGCATTATAATGATCTCTTACCTTTCCGATGGACGTAACAGTTCTGCTTAGCTTAAAGTAAATTGCCTAACTTTAGGGACCATTGCTTTCTGTTCTGCACACCTGCTGCAACGTTTTTTTTCCGCCCTGGAAGGCGAGGGAGGGCTTGTCATGTAGTGCCTCATTAAAACACCGCAGGCTGAAAGTCGGCGGATTGATTTATTGAATGAATGTTTGATGTCCTCATTCACGCGAGTGACCTGGCCGATAACTGCTAAATGAATGGAGGGAGGAGAGGTATCACATGCTTTTCTTCCTTTCCTTTTCTTTAAATGTATTGATTATATTGTATTGGTAGTCCTCCGCTCCTAATGCTGCTTAGTGGTAAGATAATCCAATATAGTGGGCGGAGGTAATTGACCCCATGTTGATAGAAGCGCTGGAAGGAAACCAAGCAAACCGGGGGTGGATGACTTCATGAGTGGCAGGTATGTCCTCATTTTAGCAAGAACACGAGTCCTCCGATGAGAAATGCAACGAATTTAAATATTTATATTAGATTTCGGTGTGCTGTAAACATTTCTGCGATGGTTAAATCCATCTAAAACTGCCACCGTTGGTGAAATCTCCTCTCTGCGCCTGTGTTTTAGTGATCGGCAGCTGTTCTCTTGTTGAACAGCAGAGGGCAACGCCAACAATCTCTTCTCTGTTTCACCAAACTGGGCTACAGGTCATCGCCTTGATGCTTCACAAAGGCTGTAAGAAACAACACACAGCAGGCCTTTGGACTGAAGGTAAACACTGGCTGTGGAGATGTGATATACTGACATATGATTTTTTTTTTTAAGGGTCCATTTTTTTTTCCTGAGAGGAAATATTGCATTAAATTATGTAAAAACAAATACCTGTTTATTTGCACAGTTTACTTAAAAATATATTGTTATTATTATTATTATTACGTGGAACCGTTATGACACTTTAAATAAAGTCCACAAAAAGCTATAGCTCACCCTAGTATAATATAAATATAATATTTACTATAATATAATATTTACTGTTCCCCGGCCTTCTCCATGTGTCCACTCTTTTTTTTGCCTACCCGGGGTGTGTAGCTATAGAAGTATATTACATTGTGCCACGCAGCGTGTCACGGGACACAGTGGACGATCTCATTAGCAGCCCTGTAATTTCAGGCAGGCCTCAGTGCATTAGGGTACCCCTCCGCAGATTTTTAAACATCTTGATCGCACCTTGGATTTTTTTTCTGATAATGTCTGATTTTTTTTCTATTTGTGAAATCTGAATTCATGGGTTTTTATTAATGTACCTTAAAAAGCACGTGGATTTTTTTTAACTGATAATTTCAAGTATTTGTAATATGGGGGTTTGTTCTGTTTTGCTGTGGGATCCTCACATTAAATAATAATATTAATAATAATAAAATTAAAATAAAGATCAGTTCTTAAATAAGAAGGTTGTATTTATTGTCAGGAAGATCGTGTCAGTTATTATTTATTTATTTATTATTTTTCCTCTCTGACCTTCCTTAAGATGAATAGCTGTGGTTGGCAGAGGCGACCTCCGTGCCGGACAGCCCGCTGTTATCGCCACTGATCGCCAGGTGCATCAGCTGAAAGGCAACAGCAGCTTCCACTGGAGACAATACACAAAAGAGCGTGGAAACACAAACACACACATACACACACTGCCTAAATTCATATGCATTTTTTTTCACAGTATATAACAAATGTCCACTGAGTCCACGGAGGGCATTTTATGGCATCAAAACGGCGCATTATTTAATCCACCACACAATGTAATAATACTTCAATTGTGTTATTATCTGTATTATTATTGTTGTTGTTGTTGTTATTATTGCTATGATGGCAGGTCAGGCCTCAGTAAAATATCACTTTGGGCTGTCTGCTTTAGGTTGCCTGTCTGTGTGTTGTTATTGGACTGTGTGGAGCTCACTGTACTCTGCTCCAATAGCATCCCAATAGCAGTGAATGGAGGACTGAAAAAAAAAGTGTAGCCATGCATGCAGGAGTGGGAGGATCTACTCGCTTCAATCTCGATCTCAGACTTTTGCAGCGACAGGGGCACAACCAACCAACCGTCTCTGTTACTTCCAAAGAGTTACTGCCGGGACATCCTACACACACACACTCATACACACACGCACACACACACACACACACACACACTATACTATCTTTGGATTTGTTCTCAACTTTTACTTCTGCGCTTTTTTCCTTGGCGAGACTGTAATCCCGTGAAGACATTTTTCCAGACTTCTCCCGTCGGCTTAGGGGCGAGAAGATAAAGCTTCCTCGGTCCTCTTATCATAACAGGTGACTGTTCAGAGTTTCCACAGTTTCTTATTAGCTTTGTCTTCCTGCACGCTTCTCTGACACATCAGGGATTTACATAGCCAGCTTTTAACTGCCTTTACCTTTTAGCCATTGCGAGGACAAAGTCGAGTTTTTCCTCCTCACAGTTTAGTTTATTTTCCCCTTTCCTCCTCCGAGCTGCAGGCTGTATCCCACACGGATCTCAGACGGCTTCCTACACAGCATTTCCCCCCTCCGATCAGCACTGTGTGCCCGGGATTTTCTTGTCACGTCTGACCGTATTCTTATGGATATTGCAACAGGTCTGGTGTCACTGGAGCGCCTCTCCGCGGGTGAACAGTCCGAGACGTGCATCATGCTAGACGGCATTAAAATAGAAGATCACCCCCTGCGATCGGGACAAGCCACACTCGGAGTTATGCTCGGTGAGTCTTCTTTTTCTGTTGTGTAAATTACTCTGATCTGCGCGATCAAACGCTCGCTTGTGTTTGGATGTCATTATAATATTTCATTTTCTTTTCTCTGCATGCGCCCACACTGCTGTTTATTTCCTGATATCAGTTCAAAAGTATGCAAAATCGACGAAAGGTCGCACTCATGTGTGCAAATGGATATAATAACAGATCCAGATAAAGAGAAATAGCCCCTTTAAAAAATGTCTCTCTCTCTATATATATATATATATTACTATTATTGTTGCAGTCTGGATGAAGGCGTAATTCGGGCCTTATATGAAGAGTAAATAAAACCAATTACAACCCTGTTTCCTTTATAATAATATCTTAAACCTCAGCGGATTTCTTCAAACAGACTGGCAAAATCTGAAGTGATTTGGGGGCTTCTCAGTTATCACTTATTGCAGTCCTTGATTCAGGCCTATTTCCTTTCTTTCTGACGGGAAACTCTTGTGCCTTTTTCCAGGGACTGAATGTCATCACAGATCCGTGTGTGAAGGATGCCAGCGTCCCATCTCCGACCGCTTCTTGATGAGAGTCAACGATTCCTCGTGGCATGAAGAGTGTTTGCAGTGCACCGTGTGTCAACAGCCCCTCACCAACAGCTGTTACTTCAGAGAAAGGAAACTTTACTGCAAACACGACTACCAACAGTAAGCACAGTTTCCGGGAAGGACTTTTCGCTTTCCCTCCCTCTCTGTCTCACTTTCTCTCTCTCCCTCTCTCTCTCTTTGTGTGCATTTATTCGCATTGTTTTGGTGATTCGGTGATTTTTTTTTAAATCTTTTTTTTTTTCAAAAATGGGTACATTGGGTGGTTTCTGTTGACCTGACCCAGAGGCCTCCTGTGCGCAAAGGTGCACCTGAAACGTCATTCAGCTGTAGTATAAAATGCTATTTGAGTTTTTAAAAAGATGTAACCGTGGAAATAAGGAGACTTAAACTAACCTGTTGCCATCGCTCCTTCCTCCATTGGTTTATATTTACTTCATGTAAAATGCATATTTAAAAAAGAGAAAACGGGATTAAACCAAATGTCTTTTCGTTGTTAAGAAAAAAATATATATATTTAATATTATAAGAGTGCTCAGACTCGCTGCTCGCATTAGCGGTCATATATTATTGTCGTGTACTTGGCTTTATTATTGTTACACTGGCCCACGATATTTCCACGTTTGTCTCTTCGCAGCGATGCATTTATAGCAAAAAGATGCGATCCCACTCAGGCCCGAGAATATGCAGGCGTGGTGCAGTCTTGATTTTTATTTTTTCCGCTTATTGTCATACATTTTCACTTTACCAGCAGCCGCTTCAGAGTTTTTCAAATATGGAAAACGTAGTCTGAGACTACGGCGCTCTTACGATTTATTTTCCGATCAGCTCCTTCATTCTTTAAATCACTTTTTTTCATTGATGTAATCAGATTTTACTAGTTAAAATAATAATATAATAATAATATCATTATTACCGTTTTAAGTTATTCCAACTCTTCTTATTCGTATTTGGTTTATTAGAAATGCGTGGCAGGCATTTAACAGTTTATTGAAAAGCAATATGCGCAAAATATTGCACAGAATTACACCAACCTGCAAAGCTGAGGTTATAATTAAAAGTTCGGCCATGTGCAAAAGCGCGATTCGAAGTGCATAGATAAAATTATATATACATGCATGTATAAATCTGGTGTAGTCATTAAATTTTCAGCTTTTCCAAATATCTAAACAATAATGATAATAATAATAATAATAATGATTACAATAAAAAAATTGGCTGTAAGTTAAATTGCTATACTGCGGCATTACATCAGCAGACTGAGTGCAGATTGTTCATCTGGACATTTGCTTGAGAAAATAAAACACCATAATTATTATTACAGCTAATGCTCATATATATATTTTTTAAAACAAAGGAGAATTGTATTTATTTTTTGTGCAATTAGACTAGTACAGTCTTAAAACTACAAGGAATTGTCCCATTGTTTTTTTTTAATTAAAAGCTACAATAGCTTTATGTTTTAATTTAGGCATAAGACAGAAATCATTTTAAAAAATGTAAGTTAAATTGCAGGTGTTAAATTTTTCCCATGCAAACACTTAAAGCAGGACGAGCATTCACTGTGAAGCAGAATAAATTAGTGAATGGAATCAGTAAATTATAACAAACCAGCAGAGATGGCAGATATAGGGAAGCAAATAGTGAGCTTAAATAACACAAGTATTACAATAGTGAGGGTTGCTGTTTGGCCTATGAGGACCCTGGGGTGGCCTGTGTTTCTCATTGCATGAGCGCTTTTCATGCTTGTCACTAAATTTTCAGCTTTTTGTGTCCGGCCTTTTTAACAATTCTACTTCGATTACCGGGACATTATGGCTCTCTGTTAGATACCGTGCAAGCAACAAAGAGTTACATCTATTGCCATGCGTGCCATTCATCCAGCTCTGTGACAGGAGTGTAGTCGGCTGATAACAATGGAAAATTCATAGCAGTAACTAGGGGATACCAGAGTCACGGCGTCACGGCTCAGAGGTGCCTGGAAGTTGAGACAGTCCGGCAGGGAGCGAGAGGGAGAAAGAGAGGGAGAAGGGATCTCTTTCTCATGCCTGCTTCAGCGTTGTCCATTTGGAGAATTTCTGAAATGAATTCGGTTTGTGTAAAAAGAAGAGATAAAGACAGACATGCCAAGACTGGCAGGCTCTGTCTGCCTGCCTGATAGTGTCTACTGCCTGGCGTTTAGTTTCTGATATGCTCTTGAGGAACCATATTTGGAATATAGCTGACCATTTCCCTCTTTTTCCCTCTCTGCCTGGTGAGCTTGTGTGGCAAAGCTGATCACTGCAGCCAAACGCAACAACCTGCTGGGCGCCGTCCTGCTCTCACACGCTATTATTCATCACGTCTTTTATTCTTCTCCCACCTCCTTTTTTGTTTGTTTGTTTGTTTGTTTTAACTCCTCCCAGGTTTGGTTTTGGTCTTTGACACCGACACAAGTATAGTCCCTGCCTTTTTCTTCGTTTTCTTTTTTTAACGTTGTTTATTCCATTTGCATTGATGGGATACTTAAAGATGTAATTGGCACCTTTTTGACTTTTATGACATCCATTTAAGATGCATTTCTCAGCCCACAAACTGCTTTGGGCTGCGAAGAGAGCTCCTAGCCATACAGAGGTCTACGTGCCTAATAACATTCCTACAGCAACTGATTCATGCCCCGTAATCAGCTCTCACTAGCTATAATAAATCAAGGAATTGGCAAGCAGTCTTTTTTCACACCTTTGGAACAGGTTTAAGTGCAGACAGGGGAAAACAATTGTGTACTGTATTATTAAAACTCCCACCAACCCAGTTCAACACAACCTGCTCCATATAGTGCAATTATATAGTAACAAGATTGGATTTTATTAGTCTTTTTCCCATATGTTGGCTTTGAGAGTGTATGCACGAGTGTGTGTAACTGACCTGTGCTCGCCATTATCTGTTTTGTTATTTCTTTTGAATGAGGAATATTTTTGATGGTATTAAGAGTCCTAAAGAGGCCGTCGCCATGTGAGGTAAAATGAAAAATTAAATGTAATGTATTTACGGTAAGAATATTTTGAGGGCAAAGAGCTGTCAGTTGGACGAGAGGTGTAGTCGTGGAGGAGCAACAAGCTCAAACGAGACACGCGGTATGTGAAAGGTAGTGTGGAATCGGGCCAATCCGACCGAGTTTGTTGTGCCCTGGTGTTCGGAGGTCAATTATACATCATTAGAAAGAGAGAGATCTTTTCCCCAAGGGGGGGGGCTTTTCTTCTAGCCGAGCAGATGCTTTGAAAGCAGCCGTGTAATAAGGCTTATCATTTGAACCCAAGTGTTGGACAACACCCCTGTAATGGACTGTCTTGTTAGAAACTGCCATAGGCTCCATCTACAAAACATAACATTAACTAACTATATTATACACCACGCCGCCTACTTTTGGGTGCCGCTGATGCATAAAAAACCTCTCATTTCATAGTGGATTTTTTTTTCCTCATGCTCTATAAACTTTTATTGTCTAGCAACATGTTATTTTAAAATGTTCCATTTGTAAGCCATCCAAATACATCAGCTTGCATATTTCTTTTTTTAAAATCTTTTACCTCACGTGCTGGAGGCTAAATTTAATTCAGGTCACGGTAGTATGAGCAGTAGAAAAACACAGCGGTGATGAAGCCATAAAAGAAGAGCTCCCAAAACTGGTCTTACCTCCCATGTATTCCAGGACGATCCCCCGGTGTGCTGAGAGGTGCTTTTTAGAACAGTTTGGAGCGCCCTCCTGTGAAATTGTTGTTTTTTAATTAGCCGTGCTTGGGACGCAGCAGCGGCAGCAGTGTGTGTGTGTGTGTGTGTGTGTGCCGGATAGATGCTGACGGCTGGGTTTCTGTGTTAGCTCACCCATTTTGTGTGCGTGTGTGTGTTTTACACTCACAAGGACACTCCCGTGTGGCCTGGCACTTGTGAACACTCACTATATGGATAGCAAACATTTAAAAAATAAAGAAATAAAAATAATTTTTTTAAAAAGCCACCGGGATGTGTTTTGTGCTGCCAGCGCAGCTGGGTAGTTTTGCAGTTAAAGACTGTCCTTCTGTATTTTAAAGTGCTTCACAGGCAGCTCTGCAGGCAGATGCGAGTGTGTATTACTGCTTTTTGTGTGTGGAAGGCTTCCTTAACTTTCTATTCCTTAATTCTGCCTAAAAAGGATAAAAATGTGTCTTTAGCTGCTGCTCTTGGGTAAATAAGAGAGGACCTCTACGGAGAGACAATTCTAATGTTAGAAACACAAAACTGGATAATATTGCTTCAGCTTGCTGGGATTTTTTAGTGCTCGGCAAGGAGCTAGCTGAAGCTGGCCCGTTCCTCTGCAAGGAAGTATTGGGTTTTATGTCAACATGGCTCGGCCTGTCCCAGCAGCATACTAGGATGCATCATCTGTCATCTCATGGTTTACTAACTGTGCACCCCACCCCGCCCCCGAAACACATTTAGACCATTAAAAAGACCTGTTAAAGTGTGTTTATTTGCATCACTACCAGCATCTGTGGGTTTTTTCTTCTTCTTTTGTTGTCCTTTCTAGTTCCCATAAAGTGTGATATTAAATTTTTCCGTGAGCTCTACATGTTAAAAAAAAAAGGTGTTGTACGTTTTTAAGTTACATCCATAAAGAGTTCACTGGCTTTGTCTGCCAGTGGCTTTCTGACATAATCAGTAAATATCAAGTTCAAGTATTTTGTTATCAAATCGAGTGATGTCATTGATCTTCCTGTTTCTAAAGGCATTTCCCCCCAGTGTTTTAGTCCTCCCTGGGTGCAGGGGATGAGTAGTGTGTGTGTATGTGTGTGTGTGTGTGTAGCAACAGTTGGAGCACAAAGCACTTTGCAGGACGCTATGGGAAGCCACAGAGGCTCAGCCATGGTAATGCCCATCACCACTTTAGAGGCCAGACTGGTGGCAAGGGATGTGGAAAGAGGTCTCTGTGGCTTTGTGTGGGGGGGCTGTTGTGCAGGGGAGGAGAAGGATCTGCAGAGGGATCTGCCTGGTGTGCTCACATTACACTGGATGATAGCAGAGGGGTGCAGAGGAACTCAGGCGTGCAATTTGTTGGTAGCCACAATTTAACCTCATCTCCTAAAGCC